CAAAATGGTTCTTTTTTTTTTTTTTTTTTTAAGAGAATGCACTGAAGAAACCATAGTCTTTCACCAACATCAGTGTTAAGACTACCTTCCATAGAAGGTAAAAGATACCACCCCAACACAGAAGAGACTTTGGGCTGAGCACTATAACATGCCAGCAGCTCATTTTTTTTCTTTCAGCTTTCTTCCTTAGGACTTGACTGGATTTTGAAGCACTTGGCTGAACAGAAGGCAGCACCCAGAGAAGTTTTTCTGTGTGACCACATAAGCCTATAGCTGTTTGTTAATCCGTAATAAATTCACTCTTGTTTATAAGCTTCAGCTTCCGTTTTTTGTATATTAAGCACTCTGAGGCGATCAGAGACACTTGGGCTGCTGCCCTTTGTGGTATGATTAGAACTTACCCTCCCCCTGCTTTCCAAGAGACCACAAGTGAAGGGGAGGGCCAGCAAGGAATAAAGCAGATCTCAGTCCAAATTGTCTATCGCCTAAATGCAACAGGAGCTTGAAGGGTAGAGGTCTAGAACAGAAGCAACTGTTACTGCTGCCTAATTTAACACACTTGCACTTGAAGGTTAATTTCACAGGAATACAATCTTTAAATACAGAGGATGTTTCTCATACTAAAACATTAAGAAAGTACAATGCATAACATGAGACATACAAGAAGTGATCTTGTGAGCAAGTGCATGGAAAACTGTAACTGCAAACCAAAATGTTACCAAAACAGTTAGGAATAAGAAAGATCACAGTTACTTTTATTAGTGGTGACACTTACTCAGGGAAGAGAGACACCACCAAGAAGCATACTAATACAATTTACTCTCCAGAGGCCCAAGACATCAACACAAACTGGTAGGTTGTTACTGGGAGTGATCTGTTTTCCTGCTACTTCTCCAGGTTTTTCTGCAGCCCTTCCCTTCCCACACAAGAGACGCAAATAGCTGAATTTTTTACTGAAAGAAATGTTGAGAGAGTGACATTACCAAAACTTCTGCCCTGGCAGACGAATGTCCTCAGATTCTTTTCAATAAATAGGATGAAGGATGTTTTCATTTATATACATAGTTGCTAACAGCAGCCATAACTTGGACAGAATAAGAAAAGGTCCCTCAGGCATTTTACCCCTTCCCCCTTCAAAATATCAATGCCTTCCCTTCCTGCCATAACCCTCCTGAAAATTCACAACTACAACTCACAAAGTTTTAAAGGAGAAAACATTTAGAGCATCAGTGGGACAGTACTGGGTTTGGTCAGGCGAGAAACGTATCAGGAAATAGCTGAGAACAAGCGAGTAACACAAATGACTCAGGATCTATTCCCATTACAATGGGGAAAACAGGCAAGTCTTTCTGCACATGGATGGATCCACCCACCCTGGGTAAAGAAGTACAGAACAAACGCCAATTTTTTCATAGCAACTTCAAAAAGCCCAAAGTATGTTAAAAGGCCGGTTTTCTTCTGAAAAATATCTAAAGTTTAGCTAAACTAAACCTTGATTCTTTTCTGCTTTACAGTGTAATTCACACAAAATAAGCACAACTGCATAAATGAGGCATCCTGAGTCATCAAAATGTCTTGCATGAGTCCCGGGTTTGACTTTTCTTGTAATTACAGTAGCACTTTGACACTTCAGCTTTTACTTTTACAAAGTAAATATAACAGACCACCTGTGCTTTGTGGTTATGAAACAAATCAAAGCAGGCTTGTCATTCATATTCTCATTAAGACCATGTAGTAATACAGTGCAGCCCTCAGGGTTACAAGACACAAGCGTTGCAGTACTTGGCATACAGACCCCTTCACATACTACCAATACTGCATTTCCACCACTCAGCCTGCTGGAGGAAAACCTAGTTATCAGTGTGTACCCCACAGATATTCAGCATTCGCTCCATCAGATTGAGGGGTCAAACTGACAGCAAAACAGAACCGGTATTGACAACTGGCTCAAGATTTGGCCACATCTACTTTGAAGATAAGTAACAAGTGCCGTGCTTTCACCATCAAACAGTTCAGCTGCAGAAAAAAGGCAACACACACACGAGTGATCTTCCTAATACACCACATCCAGCAACTGTGACAGAATAGTTTATTTTGTATCCTGGGCACACCACGTTAGAAAAGAAGGTAACCTAAATGGTACAGATCACATCCAGGAACCAGATCAAATCACCGTAAAGAAGAAACCTAGGGCAGGCAAGTTATCACTGCAATACTGGTTTTGCTGAGGCATAAACTTACTGCTCATGCGATTTTGAAGCATAATTATTCACAGTTCACCTGAGCGTAGGTCGCCAGCACAATTCACGCAAGAAGTAACCGAGTTTGTCTTTCTTGGGATACCGGTAGCACATCAGGTCACTCCCATCAACTGCATCTCCCACTGCTGCACTGAGGTTTTCAGACGTAAAACCAGCAGCAAAGCGCTTTCTACCTTCTGTCCCTACGTAATTAGCACTATTAATCCCAGGCTATCCAAGCCCCCTGGCGTGGCTCTGATTTGGCTTTAATCTCTGCCGAGGTCTCTTCTTCCTCTCCACAGAAAGCCATTTAAACCTTGGCAAGCCTCTCAGTTTAAAGCGACGTTCTGCTGCAGAGGTATTAGTCCCACACTGTACTGACGGGAAGCAGGGAGACCTGCAACGCCTAACCTCCCTCAAAAAAAAAACCAAAAAATCAAACCAAAACAAACCCCAAAAGGAAAGAAGAGTTACTTTTTTCCAGGGAGCCTGGGACGAGGCAAGGGCCCCCCTGCACCTCCTCCTCCCCCGGGGCCAGGCGGCGCGGCTGGCCTCTCTAACGCTTCCCCCGGCTGTCACGGCGGGACGCGGGCGCACCGCTTGTCACCTCCACGGCGGATAACTGATTAGTCATTTGCGCCGCCCGCGGGGCGCCCCTCGCGCGCCCAACGGCTCCCCCAACGGCTGCCCGGCAGCGGGGAAGCCCGCCCCGGCGGCAGCCGCTCCGGCGGGGCACCGGCCCCCGACTCACCCCATGAGCCAGTCCATGGCTGGGTCCCGCCGCGCCGGGAAGCTCCCGCCGACCGCCGACTCCCCTCTCACCGCCCGCTCATGAGGGCCGCCGCCGCTGCGGGCGCGGGGGGGCCGGGCTGCTCCTCCCCCGGTCGCTTGCTCGCTCGCTTCCTCCCTCCGCCGCTGCCCGGCTCCGGCTGAGCGGCGCGGACAGGGCGGCCGCCGGGTCCCCTCCTCAGCCTGACACTCGCGCACTGGGGCGGCCGGAAGTAAACACACGGTGCTGGCGGCCGCCAGCCGCCAACCCGGAAGCGGCCCCCCGGCCTTCTCCGCCCCTCCTAATGGCCACCCGGAGCACGTTGGGAAATGTAGTCCGGGCATGGCCGGTAACGCTCCCAAGGCCTAAGGGTGGCTGGCACGCCGCAGTCCCTCGGGGATTGAGGGCAGCGCGGCCCCTCAGCTCAGTTTCAGCCCCCTTCAGCGGGGGCCCAGGGCTTCCTCCTGGCGTGGGGGCTCATGGTGCCTCCAGCGTTACTCACCCCACTCTGGGGGAAATTCACTGTCCGGGACTGGGCCTCAGCACTTCAGTTCTTCCCGTGCCAGTGTTGCGGTACCTAAAGGGAGCCTGCAGAATGGGTGGGGAGGGACTCTTCATCAGGGGGTGTAGCGAAAGGACACAAGGTAGTGGTTTTAAATTGGAAGAAGGAAGACTTAGATATGAGGAAGAAATTCTTGACTGTGAGGGTGGTGAGACACTGGAACAGGTTGCCCAGGGAAGTTGTGGATGCCCCATCCCTAGAGGTGTTCAAGGCCAGGCTGGATGGGGCTTTGAGTAACCTGGTCTAGTGGAGTTGTCACAGCCCATGGTAGGGGGCTTGGAACTAGATAGTCTTTAAGGTCCCTTCCAACCCAAACTGTTCTGTGATTCTATGATTCTATACCAAAGGTTCCCGTAAAGAGAGCTCCACGTCAGGGCCCCCGAGGTCAGGCTGTGCCAGCGGCACACAGGGCCCTTGCAGCCCTGTGGTGCTGTGGATGTAGGAATCCCCAGAGCCCCTCATCCCAGAGGGCTGTGGCCCTGCTTATTCAGGGGTGATGAGTCAATTTCCAGCCATCACACTGACTCCAACAACAGTTTCAACAGGACAATGTTACCTTGGTGCTAGTAGTGTATTGCAAGGGGTGTCACAGGGGTAATTTAATAAGAATGACTCTGGGTCATGGTTGTTTTGTATCCCCCTGTGTTGAGGAAAACTGGAAGAATTATTTTGTATTAAAAACCATATTGAACTGTCATTTTTGGAACAGACCTTCCCCCTGAAATCTGCCAGGAATCCCTTTGCACGACACATAACTGCTTTATTTTGCCATTCTCCTGTAATAAAACTTCACCCTGATAATTATTTGGGTATCCAGCAGTGTAATGTAAGAACTGGAAGACCAGACCTTGAAAATGTATGTTGTCTGTGTTCAAACTGAATATTTTTCTTTAACACCTACATTCTATCTTTTAATTGTTCATAGTTTTACTTATCTTTACATTTAGAAAATGTAGCAGAGGATAGGAAAGAGGTCTCTTGCAGCAAAACCCCACATACTTTAGTGAGCGGCTGGAAGGAGGATTTTTTTACAATGTTTAAAATACCAGATCAAACCATCTGCAGAAAATAATTATCCTTTATGCAGACACTTGATCCAGTCATTATCTGCAAACATTTGAGAACAGATGTCCCTCATTTGAATTATATTTTCTTGTTGCCCTTTGTTACAAGTATTTTTGGCAGGGCATTTGAGGATGAGCTCCATCCAATTTTACTGTGGGGTGCATTGTATGAGGAGTAGGGTGTTTGGTCATATGACACACATTTTAAAGCAGAGATGACTTCTGATACAATGAGTTTGTCATGTCAGATTAGCTGTTTTCCTCCTGATTGTATCAACAAAAATACATGGCAACTGGCACTAGGAAAATTACTGAAGAGAATTACAAAGGAAACTCAGAAAACGAGCAACTATTTCATTTATCTGTTGTATCGTGCCTCTCAGTGGCACAAGCCATTTACCTCTATCTTGCCTAAGGTGACATTTTAGCATTTTTTTCCATTGACAAATGGACATTATACCTACTGCTCTTTTCCTTCTACCCTCAGCCGCTGGAAATGCCACAAGTTCCACTGGCAGACCAAGGAACCCATTCAGCCAGGTCCCTTCATGAGCAGCTCTGAAGAGCAAAGGATGTGCCAATCCAAGAGCAGTCTCCAGTGGTTGTCGTGCAACTCCCCTTCTGTTTCTAAACCCTCTAAAAAATGCATCATATCCATTATTTGTTTGACAACAGCAAGCCGGGCAGGCCGTGGGGCTCTTTTGTGCTAAGCCCTATGCACATGCATAAAGGAAGGCTGCTCCTTGTTCAGGACAACAGGCTTCCTGGACCCTGTAGGACATGAATATAAGGTGCTTAACAAGAGACATTTCTTGGCATACAGATGTGGTAGGAAGCACAGAGGATCGGGGAGATTTATAATGCTTGACGTTGGAGGGTTTTGCACTGACACTTCCCTGGATTACTGTCCCGCAGCTTACTTGTGTCTAACAGGATTTAAATTGCAAGATTATTGCCAGACAGTCTGGACAGAAAGGCTGCAGTCCTTTCCATGGGCTTGTGGGATCTGGACTGTGAAGCTTTTGGCCTGGGATGCACTGCAAGGAATACTGCATTCAGTCACTCCTATCCTCCTTGTTCTGCCATCCTTATCTGCCTGTGCCTGGCTGGCAAAAGAGGACCCCAAAAAAGTGCCTGCCCTGCTCCTCCTGGTCTCCAGGCATGGAGTGGCTTTGTTCCCAGGTGTTCCTCAGCAGCACCAGAGATTTTTGGGAATGGATGTGAAGCTGAGGATCCCATACAGACCAGACCACAGGAGTTGAGGAAGACAGTCCTTTCACATGAGGATTTGGCAGTCATGTAAAGTTCTGCAGAGCTCAGTATAGAAGCCAAATTACAAGATAGCGTGGACCTAAGGGCTGTCCCAGTCTATCAGAGGTCTCTGCTAGGTCCCATAACCCCTGAAGGGAGACACTGCAGTACTGAGACTGCCTCAGCACTGGCTGGGATCTGCCTTGGAATAGCAAGCCTAAAGGTTTCTTTCCATATTTTTCACTCCTGTGGTTCTCATGAACAGATTTGCACCCAACAGGATGTTTGACAGCAGCACAGACAAACTCTGTCATATATTGCTGATTTTTTGTATTGGGTTTTTAGTCAGCTTTCTTTGCTACTGTGCTAATAAAGGGGTGCCACAGAGGCCAAGAAGCTATGAGGAAGTAATCAAGGCACTAGCCTCTCTGCAACTCTGTCCCTTCACTGCCTCTGATTTTATTATCATTACCTCCTGCAGCAGGAAAAGTGCAACACACAGGTGGGCAAACATGGCCTTGCACAGCCAAGCGCTAAGGAGTGGGAGTGAACTTTGTTCTTTTACTGGCTTATTGCATCAGAAACACCTGTCCCTCCTTCACCACCTAGTATTTGGTGTGGGGCCAAGCGGCCTCATATCTGATACCTTGACAACAGCTTTGCATGTTTCCCTCTTCTCTCCCTAAGTGGCTCTGGTGGTGCTGAAGGAGGCAAAGGAGGAAAGAAAGCATTGCTCAAGGGCTGTATGAATTTTCCTTCTCTTCAAATTGGCGCAGCATCATTCCCATGGAGCTCATCTTACCCTGAGAAGCCTCAGCGGGCAGAGAGATGTGAACCTGTTTGCCTGGCTGAGATACTTCCAGTGGGTGGCAGAGAAGCAGAGCAGCAGAGCGGGTGATGGTTGCCCTGACATAGAGGGGGTGTAACATTTTTCAGAAAGGCAAATCTGCTGCTCCGATCTGGGTCTTCAGCAACGTCAGGAGATACACTCTCACTGGGAAGACATAGCAGACTAAAGGGCTTGGGATCAAAATGGTGTGGTTTTGAAGCTCTGAATGCGGCACTGGCTCTTTAAGACAAAAACATCCACATACTCCTTCCCTGGGACAAAACGTCTTTGTCCCTGTGCATGAAACATATTACGGCTCAAATTCCTGCAGAGCCATTAGAAAAAGCAAAGTGCATGAGTCTGACAGCGTGGGCCTGCCTGCAACTCTGAATGTGATTATTAATCATGCTGGATATTAATAACAGAATCTCTTCTTGCTTGGAACATTTGATTTTTTTATAAATAAACACTGTGAGTGGTTATAAATATTGATTGATGCCAGTAATAGTAAGACATTTTAGATATAGTCTTGCAACAAGACAATCAATCCTGCCAAGAACCAGACTGGGAAAAAAAAAGGCATTTTGGGTCCTGAACTATCTGGGAAACATGTCTTGTATTCAGGTATCAGAGAGAGGGCTGAAGCTTCAGGGAGGAGGACTGAAAAATCTGTCCTTGGGGGTCTGCATTTCCAGGGATGCCAAACAAAATTCTGTCTGTCTCTCTTGGTCACAGAAGAATAAGAAGTATTAGGCATTTCCTCTTTTAGACAACAACTTATGAGTGGATGTTAAAGCACGAGACTGGTGGTGACTGGGTTTTATTCCCACACACACACACTAATTAGGTATTACTGAGTAATGCCTGTCTGACGCCTCAGCTTCCACATCTGGAAAATGAAAGAAACACTTCCCTCTGTGTGAAAGGTCTTGTGAGAGCTGATGTGTAAATGTTCGGAAACCTTCATTGCTTAGGAGTACTCAAAATGTGGTGGATTTCTCTGTTCTTCCAAGCAGGGAATACAAAAATTATGCTATAGTGAATTGAATAGCAGCCAAGAGAGTTTTAGCTTCAGCTAGGAAACTTAGGAAATGCCAATGGCCACCTGTGGGGTCAATATGCCTAGTCTGACCTGCGTGTGTCAGAGAGCTCTCTAAGTCAGATGAGTGTGGGTTGCCTTTTGTCCCAGTGCTGGCAATACCACACTGTTGTGGACAGGCTGTAACCAAACCCACGCTCTCATCTTGCCTGACCAGCACTAGCCAATTTGAATGGCCCCTCAGAAAGGGGAAGGAGGAGCCACACACCAGCTCCCTTGTAGCTTGCCATAGTTGGTGCTGCTTTTCCTTACTGATAAGCTTTTCCCCAAGTGTATCTTATCCTACCGCCTGTGTCAGGGCAGAGAAAAGGGTGAGAAAAAGGAGATATGCTTTTAAGTCTGGAGAGGGTTGTCCTCTCATTGTGGTTGTCTTATAGGCTAACTGCAAACAAAAGGTGTTGCTCGTAAGCCAGGGCTTGCCCGTCCCCACTGGTTTTGCA